TCATTTCTGTTTTGCCTGAATGCATGTGTGTGTGAGGGTGTCAGAGTCCTGGAAGAGACAGGTGTAAGCTGCCATGTAGGTGCTAGAAATTGAACCTGGGTCCTCTGGAGAGCAGCCAGTGCTCTTAACCTCTGAGCCATTTCTCTAGCCCTGCAACATGTGTTTTAATTTCTCTTGGGACTCTCTTGGGACTATACTTCTGAGTACAATTGCTGGATCACAAGGAAATTCTGCTTAACATTTTGAGGAACTACATTGTGAATATACTAAGTATTAAAAACTTATATATTTACTTAGCTGTTATGTGACAGGGTCTCATGCTGGTGTGGAACTCACTAGGTAGACCTATGTGGATCTCAGAGACCTACTTGCCTCTGACTTTCCAGTGCTGCGATGCGACACTAACACCTTCAGTCTGGCCTCGATTTTTGACTATTTCAAATACTTCTGCTGTGAACAACAACAAAACCAAAAACCAAAAAAAAAAAAAAAAAAAAAAAAAACAATACAAAAGCAAACCAAAAAACCCAAAAAAAACAAAAAACAAAAACAAACAAAACCAAAAAACCCACTTCTGCTGTGAATTCACGTCTCTGTGTACTTGAGTGTGTTTGTGTTTGATTTCGTAGAAGGAGGTCTCAACTATTTTTTATGCACTCAAAAAAAAAAAATGGGTGTTGATCAGAACTACTGTATCGGGCACTGATTTCACAGATATCTTGCCTTACTGGATCTTTAAAAAGGCACAGAATCTTAAAAATGTAGTGGGCACTTTCTAAGTGATTTTGGTCCACCTCCGCTTTGTGAAGCAGTCTGCACTCAGAGCCCTGGTCTATTCAGAAGGCCTGGAGTGAGGTTTACACAGGATGGTGAGCCTGCTGCTGTTCTTTGTTAGCTGAATGGTGCTTTTGTGGTCGTTGGATGGTTCTCTTTGAGAGCTGATCCCAGGACTCTAAACAGCAGTTTGTCATTCTTTCATCATTTCTACTTTTTTTTTCCCCTTGGTTTTTCAGGACAGTGTTTCTCTGTATAGGCCTGGCTGTCCTGGAATCCATTCTGGAGACCAAGCTGGTCTTGTATTCAGAGCTCTGTCTGTTTCTGCCTCCTGAGTGCTGAGATTAAAGGCATGCACTGTCGCTGTCCCCCCTCTCCCCCCTACCCCTAGTACATTTTTACTTTTTAAGAAAATTCCATAAAACCAGCAATAGCAGCATTGCTTATAGAAATAGCATTCTCATCTGGCTTTAGTGATACAACTAATTTTTTTTTGTTTTTGTTTTTGTTTTTTGTTTTTCGAGACAGGGTTTCTCCGTGTAGTCCTGGCTGTCCTGGAGCTCACTCTGTAGACCAGGCTGGCCTTGAACTCAGAAATCCGCCTGTCTCTGCCTCCCAAGTGCTGGGATTACAGGCGTGCACCACCACCGCCTGGCGATACAACTAATTTTTGGTTTGAAATAGTCAATCTGAGATGTGTCTTTGCTTGTTTCTCTTGTTTGTAGCCTAAGACTCTGTTTCTGTGCTGCCCAATGGTGAATACAGGTGATGTCAAAGGTTAGGAGGCAGAGGCAGGAGGGGTACTAGTTCTAGCTTGTGTCTAGCTCAGGTCTAGCTCGTGAAAAACTTGATTCATGACAATCCAATGACTTGGGTATGCTAGTGCATAGCTTTAATTACAGCATGGGGAGGCAGAGGCAGGTGGATCTCTATGAGTTTGAGGCCAGTCTGGTTTACATAGTGAGTTCCAGGACAGTTAGGGCTAGAGGAAAAGCTTGTAAACAAATGTAAAGGTGCTTTTCTAGTGACCTGAATTTGATCACTAGAATGAATACGGATAGTAAAAGGAGAGAACATACACCCTCAAGTTTTTCCCTGAACTTTGAGTGCGCACGCGAACACACACACACACACACATACACACACACACACACACACACACACACACACACACAGAGAGAGAGAGAGAGAGAGAGAGAGAGAGAGAGAGAGAGAGAGAGAAATGTTAAAAGATCAAAATCAGCCAGGCAGTGGTGTCAGTGAACACCGTGTTTTTTGTTGTTGTTGTTGTTTTGTTTTTTTGAGACAGGGTTTCTCTGTATAGCCCTGGCTGTCCTGGAACTCACTCTTTACACCAGCCTGGCCTCTAACTCAGAAATCCGCCTGCCTCTGCATCCCAAGTGCTGGGATTAAAGGCATGCGCCACCTTTAATCCCAGGACTCTGGAGGCAGAGGCATCCTAATCTCTGTGAGTTTGAGGCCAACCTGGTCTACAGAGTGACAGGGCTCATCCAAAGCATTTTCAAAATTTTATTTTGAGATAGGTTCTTACCAGCCTGAAAGAACTTTGTAGACCAGGTTAGCCTTGAACTCAGGGGATTGCCTTGCCTCAGTCCCCTCAGTGGCTCAGTGACAGAGTCTGAGCCTGAATTTCTGGTTTAAGAATATTCCCCACTCTCACTGTACTGGAGGTTGAAGTCAGAGATTTATACAGGCTAGGTAATCTCTAAACTACTGAGCTGTAGTCCCAGACTAAAAATACTTTTTAATTAACTGTAAACTTTCTTTCTCTTTCTCTCTCTTTCCCTCTTTTTGAACCTACTTTGTAGCTCAGGTAGGCTTTGATCCTCCTGCCTCAGTTTGTTAAGCAGCTGGCACAACAGGTCTATGCTTTCTATGATATATAAGAAAGAGTTAATTTTAAAAAAAGAATAGGGTATCACATAGCCCAGGTTAGTTTTAGGCTCCACATCCTGAGTGCTGGGATTACAGACATACATCACCGCACCTAGTTTTGTGAGACTTGAACCCAGAGCTTTGCGTATGGTAGGGAATCACTCCACCAACTGAGGAACTTTTCAGCTCCCCACAAAAACCAGTTTCCTCCAGATATGTGACATTACTGCTGTTCTCTTCTTTTTATAACAGTTTACTTATTACCTCTGTGTATGTATGTGATTGTGTGTGTCAGCATATATGTGTGAGTGGGGTATGCATGCAGGGCATATGGAGATCAGAAGACAATCATTGGAAGTCAGTTTTCTCACCCCACAGTGGATTTGAGGGTCTAAATCCAGATCTCCAGGTCTGTGCAGCAAACATGTTTACCCACGTCACTTGGCTCTGTTATGTTTTGTTTTTGAGACTGGGTCTCAGTATATAACCCTGGTTGGTATGTAGAGCAGGCTAGGCTCAATCTCAGAGATTCACTTCCCTCTGCTTTCTGAAGGCCAGTATTGAAAGTGTACACACCAATAGGCCTGGCTCTATTATTATTAATTATTATATTTCAAGACAGGGTTTCTCTGTGTACTCTGTGTAGCCCTGGCTGTCCTGGAACTCAGGAGGCAGAGGAAGGCAAATCTCTGTGTGTTCGAGGCCAGCCTGGTCTACAAAGTGAGTTCCAGGACAGTTGGGGCTATTACACACAGAAACCCTATTTGTACTCAGATGAGCGGTTAAGATTGTATTCAGATTGAGTGGTTGAGTATTGTCTTTCTGAGGAGGAATGAATTCTGGGTTCCAAGGGTACTATCACCTCTTGACCTTGGAGCTCACATATCAGGCTCAGGTGGAATAATAGATTACTTTGTGTGTGTGTGATTTAAGGCTAAAATGAACAGGAGGGTCTGCAGATAAATTTACTTTGTTCAGAACTTCGTGCATTTCCAGTGAAGTTCCCTTCTCGGACTCTGTGTGTGGCAGTTTGTCCAGACACAATGATGTTTTGAATAAAAGTCAACAAGGGAGGTCACCCTCCGGAATATTTTCTCCTACTGGGAAGGAGGAGGAAGCTTGTGGCCCCCTTCTACATCAACGAGTCACTGAAGAAACCTGGGCTTCCAACAGCTGCAGATTTCTGCCGGGAGCTGCAAAACTGGGGTTGCCATGGTCCATGGGAGCGAAATGCTGGCTGCCCTCTGCTACCGCAGCCCTGAGCCGGCTGTTGCAGCGTCCTCTCCAGTCCCTTTCAAAAGCTTTACAAGGGGATCCCTACTTGGGGAGGAGCTCGGACGGGACATTAACCTGGGCTTCTGTCCAAACGACTGAGGCGAATAAAAGAAGCTTTTCTAAAACTAACGGGCTGCAGCCCTGGGCTTGTCTCAAAGGATTTTTTTTTTTTAACCCCTCGGTGATTTCCTGGAGAGCAGAGACGGTTCATCCCAAGCTTAGCTGGCACATGGGCATCTCCCTTCCAACTTGTGGCAAAGGATTTATCACCCTGTTCTAGGCGGGAAGGGGAGGTCACTGAAATCAATCAGCTCCTCCACTTCTCCAACCGCACCCCACCCCATCCCAGCGGCAGGCTGCGGTCCGGTGCCATCCGGGGTGACTTGCAAATTCTGGGCACACTTTGCTAGGAAACGGGGGGTAAAAGCCTGAAATGCCAAAGCACCCGCGGCTGCAGGCCCCTCGGTCGGTCCCGGGCATCTTGCTCCTTATCGCGGTGGACTCGGAAGGATTTAGGGGCTCGCAGCGGGGCACGCAGACAAAGGGGCGGCGGGGAGCTCGCAGGCGGCCGCGGCCCGGGCGCGGGGAGGGAGGGGCGGCGCGGCGTCTTCTCCCGGCCCCGCGGCGGCGGCGCGTCACGTTCTCTTCCCCGCCCCGAGCCGAAGAGCCGGGGAGGCGGGAGGCGGCGGCCGCGGCGGCTGCTGCTGCTGCTGGGAGGCAGGTGACGGCGAGCGGCGGCGTCCCAGGCGGTGAGCGAAGCGCGGGCCTCATCTCCCCCTTCCTCGCCGTCCCACCCTTTCTCTCCCTCCGCGCCTTCCCGCCGCCGGGGTCCGGGGGACGCTGGGAGGGAAGAAGGCTCGCCTCAAGCTCCCGCCACGCACTCGGGACCGCGGCTGAGGAGACGCGGACGCAGCCGTGAGGGTGGCGGGCACGAGGAGAGAGCGGCTGTGAGGGAGGCTGGCTGCGAGCCGCACGCGTCCGGCCCTGTCAGCTGCGGCCCGGGCCTTGCCTTCCTCCTCGCCGCCTCAAGATGGAGCGTGGACTCCTTGCCCCTGCGCCGCCTCGGGAGCCGCTCTCTGGGGAGCCCGCGTCCTCTCCCTCAGCTCTCGAGGGGAGGTTCCGGGGACGGCTCCGTCGCTCGTGGAGGCCGCGGGTCCGGCTCGACCTGTTGCCCTGGACGCCGCCCGCCACTCGCCACCTGAGCCTTCCTCAGGCAGGCCCGGGACGCCGGGTGTCCGCGAGCCGGCATGGAGGGCGCCCTTGCCCCGTGTCGCTCGGGCTCGGCCCGGCCCGGCTTGGCCCGGTTCCTGCCTGCTCGGCCCTGGGCTTTTGTTTTCCGTCAGACCCCTGGACCGTGATTCTCTGAGAAGGTAGAAGGGCGACGCGGGGTGCCAGATCTCTGAAATCACCGCTGCCCGGTAACCCGAACCTGCTGCCGCGGTCGGGGGTTGGCGCGGAAGACAGATGACACTTGTTCGGGGTGGGGGTGGGGGACTATTTTAAAAGCAGAGTCTTGTGGTATGTCTCGGATCTGGAGGTCTTTGCGTTATTAGAGAAAACAACAGAATATCGGATTTTGAGTCTGGAGTCCTGCCCTCAAATCCCGTAGTCTCTCCACTTCGTGTGGCTTCTCCATCTGGCAGAAACCGTGCACCACCCGCTTCCTCCCTGCCCAGCCCCACCTCTCCGGGTATGAAGAAATGACACGTTAAGTCTGTAATCCATGTGGATACCCGTTTTTAGAAAAAAGAAAAAAACCCAACAACTTGCGCGCCAATTACAGTTTCTATTTATTTAATTTATTTATAAGGACAGTGGATATGATTCTGTAATTTCCTTTTTCATTTTTTTGTGTGATTCAGCAGCCTACCCTCTTCCTCTTCTAGGCCAGGACTTGTGCCTGTTAGCTTGGGGCTCTGTAAATATTTATGCTGTGGTGCTTTGATGATTCTGATTCTAGGCTTTTATGATTATTATTAACTAATAGTCGCTCCCAGTCAGGAGAGCCCGTGTTTGGCTTCTAGGCTTAATAATAATCTTTTGGAAGTATCCTCAGGTATGTTGTTCCTCAGCCTTGGGGCATTTCTTCCTCTTGAAATAATAACAATTAAGGTTTATTGAGGGCTTCTTATGGCCAGGCTCTGGGGGCAAGTGTGGGGTTTTTATGTCGTGTAATCCATCCAACCTAGGGAGGATGCTGTCATCTTCATTTTACAGGGAGGGCATTGAAAGGTCAGAGTCACAGCCATTAGGTGATGTTGTCAGGAACTGTACTTCAGTCTGCTTAGTTATTTTGTTTGCACAGTGAATCAATGGTAAAAGACAAGGCTGGACATTATGAAAGCCAAGGAAGTGGGTGATTGCTTAGCTGAGAGCTTAGGCCCCTTGCTGAGGTTCATCAGAAGTGGTTAGGCATCCTACCATGCCTGGATTAAAGAGGTAAACATTGAAAGGGGGGTGGTGAGAACTTTCGTAGTATCTCTGAACATGAGGATTTTGCCATTCTCTGCTTTTTCAGTCATTGTTGAGTACCAAAATAAGCCAACCTGGTTCTTGTCTTTGAGGAATTTAATACTTTCTTTTTTTTGTTTTTGTTTTTTGTTTTTTTTTTGTTTTTTTTTCGAGACAGGGTTTCGCTGTGTAGCCCTGGAATACTTTCTAAAAATTAGTATTTTTTTATTTTTTTTCTTAGTTTTGCTTTTTTTCAAGATTGGGTCTCTTTGTGTGGCTTTGACTATTCTAGAATTTACCCTGTAGACCAGGCTGGTCTTGAACTCACAGCCTGGCTCTGTCTCCTAAGTACTGGGATTAAAGACAAGTGTCATCACTACCTGGCTTAAAGTTTTTCTTTGACATGAAAAAAAAAAAAAAAGAAAAGAAAAACCAAAAACAACAAAACCCAAACATAAGAGCCAGTGTTATTAGTCATGGTGCGCCTGTACTTCTTTCAGTATTGTTGAAGGGTTATGGTTCCTCCAAAGGCTGTTTATGGAGCTGTGGTATATCTGTCTGTCTGTGTCATGAGGACTATTCACACCACCAATACTTATGGAGCCATTTCCTGTGCCACATGCCCTTCTGGATGCTAGTGACACAGCCACTCTATAGTGACCAATCTTTAATCTCTTGGTTCTTTCCTTCCATTTGAAAGACAGACAATAAGCATATTAAGTATAAGTATGTTGCATGTTAGAGTGTCGTAAATGGTAAAGAAAAAAAAATGTACAAGCCAGAGGGGAGGGAATATGAAGTGTTGTAAACAATGGCTGAAGTTACGGGACTTTCAGGAAGGGTTTCGTGAGACCCAGATGTGAACATGATTTAAGTAGAGGTGAGAGGCAAGTTAGAGGGTGTTGGTCTCCTATGGAAGAGGGGCCAGAAAGCTCAAAGGCCTCGGTATTAGAAGCTTGGAGAGCAGATAACTTAAAGCCTTACAGGCTGTTAATATTTTATTATACTAAATAATAAATATTCATTAGTATTTCCTGAAAATATTTGTTAAAATACTGATTCAGAATAACTTAACATGTCATCGATGTGCACATCCTCCTTCCCCATCTAACTTTTTTTTTTTTTTTGAGCTAGAATTTCCCTGTGCAGTAGGCTAACCTGGAACTCAGTCCCCCTGGCTTAGCCTCCTGAGTGTGGGGGTTCCAGGTGGCAGCCATCATACCTGGCTTTTGGGATGGAGGTGGGGATCTTGTAATGTTGTCCTCGCTCAGCTCCCACTTCTGTCTCTGTAGCAGTTGGAATTATAAACGTTGACTACCATGCCCAGATTTCTGCTGTGATCAAGTGTGTGCTAAAAAAATAGGAAGAATTAAAGTTCAAAGAACTTTGCTATCTGGATTAGAAGCCTCGTTGCTGCCAGTGAATGCAGAGTAAGAACCCTAGTTTGTGTTGCTCTGATAAATGTGCAGAGAGTACTTTGGCAATAGAAGCAAGTCAGTGGCTGGTCAAAATTGGCTAGCCCAGTACTTGACATACGGACTCGACCTGCACGCACGCGCGCGCGCACACACACGTACACACACACATCAGAGATTAAACCTGGAGTTTCATACAGTCTATATTCCCAGCACCACCTTGCTGTTGAGCATATATTTTATACTTTCCTATTAAAAAATTATTTTATGTATATGGATGCTTTGCCAGCATGTATGTCTGTGGACCATGTGCATGCTGGCCTGTGGAGGCCAGAAGAGGCATTTCGATCCCCTGGGATTGGAATTAGATGGTTGTAAGCCAGATGCTGGGAATTGAACCACTATCCTCTGGAAGAACAGCCAGAGCTTTTAACCATTGAGCCATCTCCAGCCGATACTTTCCTATGTTTGTACGTCAACCCAGGATCTTTGTTTAGCCCAAGGAATCTATGTTGTGTCATCTTGATAAGTGTTTCTCTCTCAGTTGTGCTTTTGGCAGCACAGCCCTATTTTTTAGGGTCAAAAGTTTTATGTTTCTCTCGAAAAACAAAGCAAGACAAAAAGTTTCATGGTTCAAACTTAGTCCTCCCCAACCCCCAAGACAGAGTATAGACCTGTGTAGCCCTGGCTGTCCTGAAACTCACTCTGTAGACTAAGCTGAACTCAGAAATCCACCTGCCTCTGCCTCCCAAGTGCTGGGATTAAAGGCGTGTGCCACCACCGCCCGGTTTATATAAGTATTCTTAATCTTAATTGAAAAACAGTGTCTGTAATACTCTGTGAATTTGTTAGGTAGCTGATTAGGGAGGCTTTATTACAGCATCTTATATATTTTTAATAAACACTAGGGTATGTTTTTCATATAGATGGAACTCAACAATCCATATGTTTTAAATCAACATTTTCATTACAGTTCTAAAAGGAATCATTGACTGATGGTAATGTACAGGAATTTTAGGGAAGAATGACCTCTTCAGATTGCAGTCAGGGTACAGAAGGAGCACTCCCCCCTCCCTCTGCTTTTTTTTAATAGGTTGGCAGATTGTACTTAACCAACCTTGAATTTGGCTAGGACATCTGGGTTAATATCCTGGACCTGGCATGAAGTACCAAGGAATCTTGGCCACAATTAGTAAAGAGCTTTTTTCCCCCTTAAGTCTCCATCTGGCACTTCTAGAAGGACAGATTCCATTAGCAGGAACTCAATGGGTGGGTCTGTTTTTTGATTGTCTGTTTATTGTGGTCCGGTAACAACATCTTAAAAGTATTTTTTGCAAAGTCCTTGAAAAGAGGAAATAGTCCTGTTACAGAATCGCTTGTTGGAAGCCTGTTGGGCATCTCAGTCCCCAGGGAAGCCTGTGTTTTCTCTGTCTCCTGTGTGTCTTCTCAGGAATCTTTGTGAGGCTTAGACAAGGGGTTTGGCTTCCTTAAGTTTTATGTAATCATATGGCTCTGTATGCTTCCAACTTGAATTATGTAGTTTGGTGTTTGTATTCTCCCTTGCTTACTTATTTCTAAGCTTGGATTAAATCCCAGTTGAAGAGTCTGCCCATTTTTGACACTTGGAAGCGACAAGTCCTTGATTTACAGTTTTATTTTTGAAGCCAAAGGCCCAAGGATCCAGATGTTCAAATCATCTGGAATTTGGGTTTGATGTATAGCAGAAAGGCAACTCTCATTAGTTTTTTCCTTTTTTCCTTCCTGACTGTACAGATTATGTTTGTTTTACTTTACCTTTGTGTGTGTGAGTGTGTGTCTGTGTGTGTGCTCTCATTGCATGCACATGCCACGGCATGAGTGAGGAGGTCAGAGGACTTGTTAGT